CCTCTGCCCGAGGGACTGTGCCGGTGCACGCTTGGGGTCGACCCGCCAATCCAGATAGCGAAAAGCCTCTGCCACCACAGGAACCGGACGTACCCGGAAAAAGTGGTGCGTCGGCCGAGGGAAACATGTTGGTATCGTGTCAGAATTGTGGAACTACTGTGACCCCGCTCTGGCGACGAGACGAGAATGGTCATCCGATCTGCAATGCGTGTGGTATGTTCTTTTGCCTTATCTCGGGAATCAAAACGAGCCCTGAAGCGGCTAATACTCCTTTTAGGTCTATATTACAAGCTCCACGGGTGCTATCGCCCCACCACAATGAAGAAGACCATAATCAAGCGGCGAAAACGCGTTGTGCCGGCGCTGCGGGAACACTCCCCGACTGCTGCCACGCAGTCGTCGAATGGCTCCTCTGCGTCGCCAGAGGCCTCCCCAGCGACGTTGGCTCGCGTCCACGACGATCACTACCGCTACTACAGCTCTGAGCCGGTGGATCACTATGGACCGATGTCCGGAGACAGGATTTCACCGGCCGCGCCCAAGCAATTTGGCTTTGCACCCCCGCCTGTCGATTTTACCGGATTTAGTTCCGGCCCCGTCTCCTTACCGCACCATCCCCCGCCACCAAGATTGTTAGAGCCGGATCGCATCAACGCTCCAAGCCACTCTCCGGTGTCTCAGTTTGGTCGACGGTCTCTTTCGCCAAATCCCTCGGGTAATCCGAAGAAACGCACCCTTGCAGAAACCGCGTCATCAGCAGAAGCGTTGTCTATCCCGACCACTTTGGAAAATGGGTCCAACCAACTTCCTCCGATCATGTCTTCTGTCAATCCTTCCCCTCCGGCCCGCCTCAGTTCTATCTCTTCTCTCCTCAACCCCAACAGCCATGACGAATCGCGCCTAGATCCCTCGCTCGCTGCCCTTAGCCGTCAGCACCATCCATCTCACCAAGCTCCTCTTGCGCCCCCTCCCTCACAGTTGCTGCCCGGTGTGTCGGAGTTCGACAACATCAGGGAAGAGCGTCGCTGAAAGTTGCAACGAGAAGCGGAAGAGATGAGAGAGATGCTGCGAGCAAAGGAGCGAGAGCTAGCGGAACTAGGACAACAATGATCATGGATCTAACTGTCCAAGGACTGTGTATGCTGCTATTGCTTGCTTTCTACTTTTACTCTTTCACCAATCACATATTTGGCGCAGACTTTTTCTGACGAGATACCATTTGCAACACGATGAGTTTCACGGGACTTGTGCACTATTAAGGGAAAAAAAGTTCTCTACATTTCATTTATTTTACTTGGGATTAATTTGTTTGAAGCGCTGGCGGGATAAGCGATTACAAAAGAAAGACATTACGGAGGCTTGTTTTGTTACACTTTTATTTTCTCTCCTTCTCTCACTCTCCCCTTCACCTTGTTTAAATCTGTACCGGCGGACGGACGTGTGGACAAGGCTATTAATCACGGGACAACCGGGTGTGAGATGACTGTGTTCGTAAGGTCATGGAATAACTGAATAGATTTCGGTAATATGGGACTTATCAAGATCATATGATGGCTGTTATTGATCCGAAGTAAACTAGTTCACTAGGATCTATGATTGATCGAGCCTGTAGCGACTGATTGATTATCTGGAACCCCATCTATTTGATTAAATCAGTTTTTTATCTCTCAACCATAGATTGACTGATTGATAAGCTTAACTGCCAGATTTCCTTTTACTAGATCGGATCGGCCCGACCTCGGCCTTTCCAGTACTGAAAAATTCTCTCCCATGGCTATTATTCTCATGTAATTGTTATTATTTCATCGCAAGTCGTCTAGTCTAGTCTCACACATTTTACCCCTCACTGCAAGGGATTTGATCTGATTGATCTTCAGTTTTTTCTTTTCTTTCTGTTTCTTTCGTTACGAAATCAAAAAACAGGTCGATCGCTGTTTTGTCACACTGCGAACCGTAAATTTTTACACGTATGGAAAAGGAAGCTGCTGTTTGGAACTAATTGTAGGATATTTCATCAACTAATATAGGTCAGTGCATTATGCGTCAATGTTGGAGTTGGATTGGTCATAGATAACTACTAGCGCTATCTCTAGGTAAAATACTTGTTTCTGTTTCTGTTTCTGGGTTCTTCTTCTTCTTTCTGCCCCATCTCCGACGGTAGTAGATAGTAAGTAGTTTCCTACGTCCGGGTTTTCCGGTCTGGAGATAATTGAGAGCGAATAATATACAGCTAGTAGTCTCTAGTTACTACATTTTTACGTAGGGATTATTTACTCTGACTGGCTCGGCTAATTTCGGAGGATCATCGCTTATTATGATCATCAGAGTTCTGATTCATGAGTATGGGCTGGATTGTTAGTAAAGCTTGGGTTATGTGTGTGGGGGGGCGGCGGCTTTAGGTGAGTGTTGTGTGTTGAAATTTCCTATTTCTTGAGCGGAGTGTAGCTGGGAAGTGGGTGTGAACAGAAGGATATGGGATATACTTAGTAAGTCATAGGATATTGAGCATAGTTGAAGTATGCTGTAGGTGTTTATCTTCTCGATTGATTGGGATTGTGTGGATTAGCGGTAGGTAGTGAGTGCTACCCACGTGAGTGAAGTTTAGTCCGGTAATGACTTTCCCTGCTGTATCGTTCTACTTGTGTATAACTGCAATATCTATCTATCTATCTATCTATCCACTGTGCCATAAAGGAGGGGTACAGGAGGGATGGTGTATGTGTGAGGGGTGTTGTGTTCTAGATCTGGCGAATGTCACTACTAATTGAGATATGGCATGATGTGATGCGATTGATAAGATTAAGATTTGAAGGAGGGGAGGGGGTCAAGAGATTCTGACCGTGTGAGAATTATTAATCTTAGATTTGGGTGGGTAGATAGTACGTAGGTAGATAGATACTCCGTAGGGGGGCGGGTTTCTGTTTATCCGGGACACTAGGTTGGTTACTTGGTTTGTTGATTTTTTTTCTTTGGTCTATTCAAATATTCAATTTGTTGCCGGTTTATTCCGTCTACTATGTATTAGTATCTGTTGTACAGAGAGATTATCCTAGGATCATATAAGATGAGCGAAAGAAGGGAAGAAGGAATGTACATAGAACCGAGAAACAGAAAGAGGGGGTTTAACTTGTAGCATGGTCATAAAGTCGTCGATGATTAGACATCCGGAGAATGAGAAGAATGTACACGAAGGTGGATCGGTAGGTAAGTAGGTATGCATGCGTGAAACAAAGTGCAGGTGTGGGATATCAGGATCAAAGAGTATATGGAAAAGAAGGGGTAATGTTGAAGATGCAGCGTCATATATCATGCATCGTGGTATCAGAAGAAAGTAAGTTCGTGAATATATGGGAAGTAATGAGTGTGTGCGAAATTACGACAGTTCAGAGACAAAATCATCATTAGACATCCACAACTAGCCGACGCTGACTGGTCGACTCGTCGTTGTTTCTCGATGTCTCCTGAATCATTGTCGTTGTTGTGACTGCGATTCCGTCTAGCGCGCCATCGTGGCTCGCTTCACCGGACTTGACGTCGATGGTGTACATGCCGTAGTCACGGTCTTGGGAGTAAAGCTCGACCTTTTGCCGGTGCGAGCGCGCGGTCATCCGAGTGGCGGTCATGCGACTGGCTGACATGGTGGGGTTGCGGGTGTAGCGATTGTAGCTGTTGGTCGAAAGGAAGCGAGGGAAGAGGCGGCTGACGATCGGACGAAGGAATGGTAGGCATGCACAGATGATGGCGACGTTGCATTCTGCAGCGGTCCAATAGGCAGCGCCGACGTTGCTGTCTGATTCGTTTGTCAGTCTGAATCTCATAGAAGATACGCGGCGGAAGTGTACATACAAGAGGTGTCAGTGCTCTGGGCTACGCTTCGTAGACTGGATAGACGGAGGATACTTGTGATTACAACCCTGGAGCGTAGCGATTAGCATGTATTGGACAACTTGGCGATCGCCATGACTTACAGTCCACCGACAGCAAAGACACCCATAAGGGCCAATTTCTGCATGCGCGGAAGTTGTAATTGCGACAGAAGAGGCATCGGCAGGATCAACAGGGTCGTGTCTGTAGCGATGTTCATCGATGCGTTGAAGAACCAGACTGCCTCGAAACTAAGGCAGTAGCCGGAGATGTTGCGGTCCCAGAATTTGGCCACTGGGACACAATTCAAGAAACCACTGACTACTGCCCATGTTCCGTAGGTAGCCACAATACCAAATACGATCCAGCAAGCAAGCCGGAAGCGACGGTCGGGGAAGATTCGAAGATACTGGAAAAGAATGGAGAATTTGGTAAAGATCAAGCTGGCGTTATAGAAAGGAATAGCAGCCCAGAGTCGCTTCATCACAGAGGATCAGTATAGGTCTAGAGACTGAGTATTATTGGGAAGTGTTACCTTTAATTGTTCTTTCACAACAACGTCGGACAAATCGTCGTCATGTTTTCCCAGTCCAAAATGTACCTCTGCAGCATGTAAGAGAGATATTTCAGGTGGCTGACGGATGGCCATAACTTACCAGCAGCAACAAGACCAAGATAAGTGCATGCTAACACCTACATGCAACCAATGTCAATATAAGCCACTTTACCAGCAAGCACTCAAACCCCCTAACCAGGATACGTACCAAAGAAATGAGAATCGTATAATCTTCACGACCAGTCAATTTCATTATCCCGATTCGTGCATACATTCGCATAGCGACGATGACGATTGAGATTGCGGTAAGCACGGCTGTCACTACCAGGGCTCGCTGTCCGCGAGCTGTACCATCATCCGTAGTCCGGGGAAGCAGCATGCTTCCCATCATTTCGTCCAGCATGGCAAAGGAGTGGGCCAGTTGAGCAGATGAATGTTGCACAAAAGAGCGTGTGATTTGTAATGTAAAGGATGAAGCGTATGTTGTTGTTATTGCATTGGTTTGCGGTCAATAGATCGATCTGCGTAGATGTACAGTCTCCAGGTTCTTAAACCTAGAGGCCGGAACGTGTTTTACCACATGGGTCAAATATACACCGACAAGCTTTCAAGAAGAGAATGTGTGGGCTAACGCCAACTCTTGAAGTAGGGTTGCTTTTCAAGATCCTGCACCGGGGTAAAAGAGGGAAAAGAAAAATATCGGGGGTCCTGCTTTTAACAGTTCAGCGAATTAAGCCCGAATACCCCCCGCAATAGCTCAAAGTTTGATAGTAGTTAATAGCGTGCGAAGGCCGCTAGACTGCTGGGGAGCCCTGGATGGAGAGTAATAGCATACGTAGTAGACAAATTCAGCTCGGTGTTGCCCGGCACAGTGTGGCTACATGACCCGGACTCCTTCCAAATTGCAGTAATGATCTATGGCACTAAGCTGTCGGTCTCCACTGGTGTCGTGGGCAGACGGCAGAGTGGATGCGCTTGTAGGGGAGACATTAGTCAATCAAGACGGCGGCCTGTAGAGCGAGACCCAGAATGGCACCCAACGCCCTGTCACTGGAGTCTCTCTCCGATGGTCGATCCATGGGACGCCACAATGGTGTCTTGAGAACTTCCCTCCTGGAGTATAGTGCTTTTTTCGATTTGGCTGGTACGGACTCGGCAATATCCCTCGTACGGTACCGTTGATTCGGCTAGATTGGCTCCACTAAGAAGAGGGAAGGTCAAACACAAAATGCCCGTTTCAACCTTCTAGCTCGTGTATCCCCAGCTCATCTTGTGCCCCTTAAGTGACCGCAAGCAAAGACCCCGGGGTGCTGCAAAAATAAGACCAGGATCAATAGCCACATGGAGAAAGCTGGGTGGCTTTCTCAATCTGGTTTAGATGATGTTGAAGAATGTTCTTCCACGGGTTTCAAATTGATGAGACTCGGCCACGACCGTGCTGGTGTGGATAGTGTCGGTGGAGGCACACAATCCTAAAGCGGCATAGAAGTCTTCTGGCACTAGGTAGACTAAAACGTGTATGGCACGATTTCGAGCAGTCATTCGCTCGTCCATGTCATTCTATCCTTGCGAATAGGTCAGGATAAGAAATGATCTGCCCTTCAGCGTGGCGGTGGGTCACCAAGCGAGGAGAAACACGAGATCTCTAGTCCAATGCCTTGCATAAACTAGTTCCTTTCTGGGAGCCTGGGTTCTGGCTAACACTGGCAATTCAGGGTACGTCCAAGGCAACAAGGACATGAGGAGCATGCATAGCAGGGCAAAAGATGGCCATCACCAGACCCCGATTAGCGGAAGACCCCGGATGGCTCCTCCCCAACAAGGTTTCGCGCCTCGATAAAAGCTAAACTTGCATATTAAGATTGTGGGTTGTCGTAGAGAAAGTCAACAACAGTTCGCACAATCAGCTTCGCAGTGGAGCAGATATTCTCTTAGCGTTTGCCAGTTTCTTACATGTATCCTCTGCGTTCACCCGTTCCGGTCAAACGTGGACAACAGCAACCATGGTTTCTCACTTATCATTCATCACTGGTCGGAGAATTCCTAAAACGATAGATCGCTATCTGCTCAGTGATTGATCGGCATATTTGGGGAAGTCTTTGACGTAGGCTCGAGTGCTCGATAGGCAGCGTGTCCGCGCTTTGTGCTATTGTCCACGCAGGTCCCTGTCTCCTCGCAACCTTGGGCGGCAAGCGACAACTACTAGTAGTCATAGTCTTCTATTTCCGTTTTCCTCACCTGTAACCGTCGATCACATCAATTCAAAGAGCACACCATGGCCGAAGTTTGACCAGGTAGGGATTTGAAATTGCATGTTTTGCCTGCACTAAATGCTGTGCCACCTTTTTCATAAACGTAAGAAACACTGAAACTGCGGATGCCTAGACAAAGGCAGAAGATATTAAATACTATCCCACATGGTAGCGTGTATTGTGGGCGGAGATATTGTTTGCTTCGCATGACTCGTGCCTTCAGGGACCATACGAGTCCAGGTCGCAAGCCAACAGCCGTTGCCAGGCTTGGCTGCATCAAAGCTGTGGACTCCGAGCTTGCATGTGGAGAATGCTGTACAACCCTCGCATCGAGTCTGCATAGAAAAGGGGCGTGCTTTCCATTGTTGCTCCTCGTGGCTTGATAATTCAAATGACATACATGATTCCGGGGGAATGGAACCCGAGAGAAGACTCGGGGTTCGATTGTCTTACGGCTGTTGAAAAATCTCATCCCAATTCAGCGGTGCAGCTGCGAGAATGTGGCTATGATCATCAATAGACGATGGGTCCCTCATGCAGGTCCAAAGGGGATGGGGAGGACGAGGCTGGATAGCGCCGCGCTATTGCTGCGCCGGGTAAGCTCTAAGCGGCAAAGGATTTCCACTACCAGCCAGTTGGTAGAGCGCCACCATGATATAGTAAATGAACCGCAGCAGAGACCTTTTATGGAAGTTCGGGGAGGCTGCCCGATGTTCTATTTGAATTTCTTGCCATGCAACCCGGTGACTAAATGCCTTTTGGCCCTGAAGCTTGGTCTCAATAGCTGAGTATTTGTCTTTGAGCCTATGCTTGGTGGCGTTTCGTTCATTGGTGCCAACTAATGTGTGGATAAGTCCCCACCATGGTCCTCACAAGGCACCATCCCATGCGAAGCTCCAGGTGTCACAAAAGGGGCAATTCTCACTTGCACGATAGATACCATGGGGTACATGCAACGGGGGAGGATGCAAATGACGTGCAAATCCAATGCTTTGAAGTGAAGGCTGCAGTCAAGGTGCGAAGATCGACAGACGAGGGAGGTGTCAACAGTGGAATAGACCTGTGTCAAATGTCAATAATGTCATTTTGGCCCACGGAAATAGCCCGTCAAACTTTCCTAGAGCATGAGGCTTCTCTCATTGGCACAGATACCTTGGCTCTGGGGCTCTGGAGGAGTGTCAAAAGCTAGCGATGATCGTCGGCCGGAGAGGGAAAAGGGAAAGGAGGCACCGAAGCGGTCAAAGAGCCAGTGGCCAGCCACTATCCCTGACGATCCACTGCCCCCAACTCCATCCCAAAGCAAATGCCAGAACTTCGACAAGGAGATCATAAATCCATTTCAATAGTTACCTCCTTCAGATGACGGACTGTCCAAGTCATGGCCTCAGGACTTTTGTCATTCCCTGCACGAGCATCGGAGTCACTTCCGAGCTCAAAGTCTACTTGCATGGCTGAAGGATAGTCCAGAATTCCTTGATTCTTCGACCCCAACCTTAATCTCCTATAGACGATTTTGTTTACAAATTACGATTCCTCCAATAGGGCTGAGGATCTCAAAGACTACTTACCACGTCGGACCTGATTACCTGGTGGTAACCTGCAAACAACCATGAGTTCCGAATCCCGCAATCAACGCCCCTCAGAGCGCCGGCCATTCGCTTAAAAAAGGAATAAACTCCACAGTTGAATTCGGTTTTCGGGCTTTAGACTTGCTGACTTGGTACCCGTGATTGATTTCCTACTTTATGCTTGCAGATTCCGTTACCTCATAACCTCGTTATCCCTATTCTTCGTGCTAAACGTGGCTTGGTAGATACCGTGTTGGTTTAATCCTACCGATTTGAAATCCACGAATATTGAGGTGTCAATGTTAGATCATTCAGAGCGACCGGCACCTCATACGTGCGCAACAACCAGAGAAGCGTGCCTATCGTGCCCGAGCACATGATCTTAAGGTTGAAAACCGGGATGACGATCTCTTCGCTTGGAGTTTGCAGATCCCTGAAGTCCGTGGTTCGTTCAAACTAGGCTGTCTTGTCTTTCATCATAGTGGATGCACTGGATGGACTGTACGAACGCGGCCTGAACTCTTGAGCTCTTTGCTAGCACGTTCGGTAACGAACGATCGCCAGCACCAGACTAATACCGGAAATTCGCACATCCAAGTATCTGAAGGAAGATCTTCTTTATCATATGCCCAGTAGCTTTTTATAGCTGTCGCCTCGCACTGATCCTTTCAGGTCGCTATTATCAAGGCGAATTGGTAGCTTTCCTCACGGACCCGTGGTTTTGTGCTTTCTGGCGTCATATTTATTGAAGTTAATGTAATAACTCCGTTTCCAACAAACTCAACAGGTAATTATGTCCGATTATGTCTTTGTAGTTAGTTATCCCAGACAGGTAGCATAAGTCTTGAGCCATCCCATTAGGCTAAATCTGCATAGTCATGCAAAGCTGTTTACCTAGATATGCATGGAAGCCTTGGCGTATTCTGCGTCCTTCAAAAGCAAAGCCCGCTTCTCGGGGATTTTGTTTTCGTGGCCGCTCATTGCGCAGGCCATAGGACTATCTCGTGGTTATCGGATCGCCAAAAGGTCAAGGTCGCCAGGAGGTCAAGATCGCTAACAAACTGCCTCCCCCATCGCTGTGATTTGAATTTTCAGATTCATCATTGAAAATTGTGGAAAGATGGATTTAATGTCTCTTTCTTCGAAGATTTCCCGCTATTAAGCTATCGCCAACTGAAACGATACGTCCATGTCGTATGAGAGTAACTGCCAATATCGGATATTCCCACACTGACGCCAATATTAAAAGAGAGAATATAGGCGATGGTTTGATAGATTGTTCTGTGAAGATCGTGTGCGGTGGTCTATCAACAGTGTCAGTTCGAATATTTTCATGAGTGCGGATGATGATGCTTTCATCGGGCCTAGCCAATCATGCAAGATAGCATGCTTGGATGAGGAAAGCTCTGTTTATAGCATCCCCTGCTAATGGCCTTGAAATTAGTCTCCGTATGACCTGTTAACCAGTGGTGTTTCCGGCATTCGGAAAACGAGCGAATTCACTCAATTGGTGAGTCAACATTCTAAGAGACATATATTGACAGATTTTGAAGGTCGAGTCAAGGTACTCGTGTTGATAAATGATTCAACAGTGTACTTGAGAGGCTGGTATTGCTTTGTGTCGAATAAAGCAGTGAGCTTGTCACCATTGAGCTATCCATCCCAGCAGACATAAAGTAGGGGAGAAGCAGAAGCTGGAAGAATGCAAAGCAGCCATCGGAAGCCAGTCCGACCGGCATAACCATCAGCCGAGGCCAGGCCCCCCGCCCGAGCACGAAATGGCCTCGCCGGATCCCCGCACGCCATCCCGACCTTCGGCCTGTGATTCATAAGAAACCACCAATAGCCCCTATCCTCTCGTCCGATTTGAAACCTTTCCCTCTTAACTTAACCGTCACCAACGCCAGCTGACAGGCTCTTTATGCGGCTTTTACAAGCGTGTCACAGCACTATCAGATCCCTGCGACAGCTCTCCCATTCATCCGGGACATTCTCCGCATCCACCCCACTTCCGTTTCGTGCTGCGATCAGGCCAGCATTCATCAAACGCACAATGGCGACAGCAATGGCAAAGCGTCTTGAAGGCAAGACCATCCTCGTCACTGGTGCTTCTTCCGGTATTGGACGAAGCACTGCCAAGGAATTCGCTCGCACTTCTCCCAAGGACTTGAAGATCATCGTGACTGCCAGACGGATCGATTCTCTGCAGGAGCTGGCTAAGGAGATCAAGGAGGAAGTTGGTGAGGGTGTGAAGGTGCTGCCCGTGCAGCTGGATGTGAGCAACCCGGAAGATATCAAGAAATTCGTGCCTTCTCTGCCCGAGGAGTTCAAGGAGATTGATGTTTTGGTCAACAATGCGTGAGTCATAGTTTTGTTTCATCGTCAATCCCAAGTCCATACTAAGAAAAATACAGAGGCCTCGTCAAGGGTGTTGCCAAGGCCCCAGAAATTGAAGCTGAAGACATCAACATCATGTTCTCGACCAACGTTACCGGACTGATCAACATGACTCAGGCCATCCTTCCCATTTTCAAGAAGAGGGCTGATGGTGGTCGAGGAGATATCATCAACATTGGCAGTATCGCTGGCCGTGAGGCGTACCCTGGTGGTAGCATCTACTGCGCCACGAAGGCGGCTATTAGATCCTTCACCGATGCTCTGAGGAAGGAGCTTATCGCCACAAGAATTCGTATTATTGAGATCGATCCCGGTCAGGTTGAGACTGTAAGACTTCGCTTATGTCAATCGCATGGCCCTATCTAATGCATGTTCTTCGATAGGAATTCTCCGTTGTACGGTTCTATGGTGACAAGGCCAAGGCAGATGCAGTTTATGCGTGAGGACCCCTTCTATATTACTCTTGGCAGACTAAAGGCACATGGACATATACTGACAACAATGGGTACTACAGCGGCTGTGAGCCACTTACACCCGATGACATTGCTGAGGTGGTTGTATTCGCCGCCGGTCGGCGCGAGAATGTTGTGATTGCGGATACGTTGATCTTCCCTAGCCACCAGGTAAGTC